GTGTATGCTTTAGCCTTACCCTTCAAGGCCTTATTAGACACTATGGTGTTCTTCAACCTCCTTTTGAACATTTTCTCGAACTCCTCACTCAGAGATTCCTTCTGCTTAGCTAACCGCATCTCAATCTTCCAATCTCTTTCCGCCTCTTTCTTATCCTTGGCCAACTTCTTTGCTTGTTCCAACCGATTTTTCTCCTCTCTAGCAGATTTCTCTTGTTCCTCATGTTTCCTCCTTTCCTCAGCCTCATGAGCTTCAGCTTCCCTTCGTTCCTCCTTCTCGATCTGACGGTTTGTATATAAGCACACCATCCTCAGTGACTCCTCCAAGTCCTAGCTCATTGCTACCACAACAGCTGCAGCGGGCTCATTGAAACTATTGGAGTTGCTTGCTCCGTCGTTATTATTACGGTTTCCACCATTGTTGAACATTCCCTGCCCCGACGCGTTGCATTCTCGGCTAATATGCCCATATTGATTGCAATTGTAGCACTTCTCTTATCTTTTTCAGTCTCCCCCGTTGCTACCACCTGTATTATTGTTCCACTGTTTCCCGCCTTCGTTGTTCCAACCTTCGCGCCCACCCCCGTTCCAATTCCCATTCCCGCCATTATTCCAGTTGTTGCCATTGCCTCCGCCGTTCCATCCCCCTGCCTCTCCAGTTACCATTGTTGTCGTTGCCACTCCAGTTACGTTCCCCGTTGTTACCATTATTACCCCTGCCATTCCAACTACTTCCTCCACCGATGCCTCCGTTGTCGCCGTCGTTGCTTCCTCCCCATCCCCAGTTGCCACTCGGGTCGTTTCCTCCACCACTCCAGTTACTATTTCCTCCGCCATTGCTTTCACCATCCACTCTTCCATTACCCCTCCCGCTCCATTTGGGTTACCACTCATCCTTCGTTCTTCGTACAACTCCCTAGACTCCGTCCCTTCGTTATCTCCAAAACTCCTCTCTTTCGTTGTCTTCAGTCGTCGTAGCGTAGCTTCGTCGCTGCCTTATCTTCAGTCGTCGTGACGCGAGATCCTAATTCTTCCCTTATTTTTCCCTGTCTTCCTTCCTTTTTTTTTCTTTTTTTTTTTTCCTTCCTTTCTTATGTATTTCAACAATACATGGGTGTGCCAACGTATTTATGCCCACTGTTTTTTTTTTTCGTTTTCATTTAGCACCTCACTGGACGTTGAGGTTTTGGAGCAAAGGTGTTCCTCTTTCCTCTCCCCCCTTTTGTCATTTTCGCCCATACAAGTTAATGGGCAAGGCGGAACATGCATTTGCTTGTTGTCCATGTCATATATTGAAAGGAGGTGTCTGTTTCTATTGCAATCTGATGATATTGTTGATATGACTACATCATGACCGTTGTTGCTACTATTACCATTTTAAATCATGTTGTTGTCATCGTGCACTTTGAGTGACTTTTGACTCTCTCTCTCTCTCTCTCTCTCTCTCTCTCTCTCTCTCTCTCTCTCTCTCTCTCTCGTATTGGACCAACTTTAATGGATGTCTTGAAGGATACCAATAAGATTGTTTGAAACCATCTCCAAAAATATGGCAACGATAGTTTCCGAACTTTGTAACTTTCGCTTTTGCTTTTCGCAAAAAAAAAAAAAAGTGAGGCGACGAAAAATGATATCACATATTTTTTGTACCACAGTATAACGACTCCCAGAATGATCTATACCGTTATATTATACTCCTCCAGTGAACCGAGTCTTAATTTCCCTTCAATATGTGCCAAGCATGCTCGACTCATGGGTTATCGAATCATCATTGCAGCATATAAGGACAAGCTAGGATGGAAAAGAGGGATAGGATGAAGCTTACAAAGAACTTAAGACAATGGTAAAATTATAATTAAGACGACAATAACGAAGATGAAGAATGTGAGGATAATGATGATGAAGATGACGA